TTAATTAGATGTGCTTAGTTGTCCATGAGCTAAAACAATGTTATAATATTAAAATATATTTTTTATTTTATTATTAAAAATGTTATTGAATAAATTGTTTTGCTCAAAAACATTCTTTTTAATTAATTAAATAATGTAATTATTTTTTAAAGATTATTTTGATTAGCTGAGCTTAGCTGCCCATAAGATTAACATTTCTTAATTTATTATAAAAATATAATTTAATTAATTTCAAAATATAACATTTTAATTAATTAAAATGTTTTGATCAGGCATTTTCTTAAAACCTTTTATTTGTTTTTTTTAAGTAGCTGAGCTTAGATGTATGTAAGTTAAAACATTTTACTATGTTACTTTTGTTTCCGTTTATTATACAACTTTTTTGAATAAATTACATCTTGCATCCATTTTATAACATTTTCTTAAACATTTGTAATATTATTAATTATGTTTGTAAATATTTGTATTATTATTAATTTTTATTATTAATAATATTGAATTAATATTATTTATTTTATGTTGACTTTTACTCAAGTTTCTAACTATCAGGCATCAAAGGCCTTTTTTTTTTTTTGCGAGAATGTTACCATTGATGCTCTGGTACCAAAGAGAGCGAGCTGCCAGTTGGATTATCGAGAATCATGGCTTGTGAAGGAATGCGTTACTGATCACATCGGAGGGAGGTAGAGACCACCACATTCATTTATTTTCAGATTTCAGTAACCTGCTGAAATTACTCTTTGCTCCCAATGGAGTCATCACAATCACCCGTTGTGTTGGCTCACTAGCAGTTTGGATGTCGATGAGCATTATTTCTCCATGCTATCATTGTTTTTGATTGCGTTCTCCCATGTGTTGCATTAACCAGCTATTATTAAATATGAGCCTTCATTTCCATCATCAGAGGGACGCATAATATATGATTTATATAGAGACATATGGAAGATCAACCTAGAGGGTTTGTTAATTGCTTCTCACCACATTTGCGTTCTTGGCATCAGGACACACAGACTTCTGTGCAATGGTCCGTGTTATGTCATAGACGTTATGTGTTTATGGCCTAATTTCCATGTGGTCAGAGTGGTTGATGTGAATGCATTCTTTTGAGGACCACATGGCGTTATTTTTCCACTGGGGAGATGAAGAGCATGCCAGGCCAGATCTTCTCTTCAGAACCCCTGCTGAGGGATCCAGGACTGTGGCTGGCCTGGCAAGAAAAGCCCAAAGCACGGCCTTTTTTCTCTGCCCAAGTCCCTGCTCAGACTCGGCTCAGCAAATAGTTATTCAAGCTCTTATGAAATCCATCATTGCATTAGTGAGATACTTGATGATTTTTTTTTTCATCACTGGTTTCTGTCCTCTTCTTTCTCGCACACATTATAGAAACAAACATGTCTTTGGTCTGTGAATGTTTGCAGCTGTGGTGCATTGCTGTGTCAGTTTAAAAAGAGTAAAGAGCTATATGACCTTGATGCCATCAAGGTTCGTTTGCACTTTTTGGATCCCAGGGGCCTGAAAATATTTTCAGTCCTGCTTTCTCTTTGGTCCTGGAAAGAAAAAAATAGGAAAACTCTTGTTTGCAACCATTGTAAGAGTTGATTAGTTTAGATTCTATTAATCTTGTTACCAATGGGTCAAGGTTTGGCTGGTTAGCATTGTCCTGCTTATCATTATTGTAGCGAATCAGCTCATTCATGGGGAAATATGAATAATTAATCATAACTAGTTATAATTAATGATAAATATTTAGATCCGCTGTAGATATTTACTTGACCTCTCAGGGTCAACTGTCTGTCAATTCGAAGAACGTTAATTTCCTGGTTAAAGGAAATAACTTTCTTACTGTACAACTCTACACAGAGCCTGTAGCATAAATCTGCAGTTATGAGCAAACAATGACCAACGTCAAGTGTGATACAAGTAAGACTTTATTAACTACATAAACACTTAAACTAGTCTAACATACTACATAAACACTTAAACTAGTCTAACATACACATACACACACACACACACACGCATACAGTTGGTATAGGAAAGGGTTAAAGCTTAAGCAGTAAAGAGGAGAGAAATAAGGAATGAAGTTATGGAACCATTTGCATATTCAGCAGATCTACACCTGAGGGAAACATCAGATTCTTAGTTCAAACACACCTTTGTAAAAAGGTGCAAATGATACCTAATGTATCAACCTTTCATGGAGACAGTTAATTTAACTCCATTTAGGGTTCATTTATCATGGTAATTTTCTCCAAACCACTTGAGGGCAGTGTCAGTAGATTGACAGTAATATTGTAACAGTGGCTACTATCTTGCATTCCAAATATTCATTGCTTAATGACATCATTAATCCATGATGGCTGACAGCGATAGCCATGTGCTAAATGCCCCAGGCATATCTGTGAAAAACTTTTATACAAGGAGGTCAATTGAGGAAAAAAAAAATTAGTATGTACAGTAAAGTATGATGAATATGTTAGTATTTTATAAACTAAAATTTAGAGTAAAATGTCGTTTTTATTCTCCAAAAATCAACTGTTCACGTATGTGGACGTCATGCAACAGTGGAGTCAGATTGCGTAAAGTCTGATTTCTGTAACCTGCTAGTATATCTATTCTATTTTTTCAAATATGTTATGAATTGTCTTATATTGTAATAAAACAGACATTTAACAAATATATCAACATAAATAACCATTTTAAATTACATATTGCACCATTAAATGGCAACTTTCACATACATAAAATCAGTTTTAACTAAAACTATGTTATGTTACATTTTAGATGTTGATATACTATAACTGAGATGATTCAACATGAAGTAAGATAAAGATGAAAATATTATAAGTTGTTACAATCAGCAGTGAATGTTTTCCATGATTTGCCCATATTGCTAATAGGTTTCGGCATATATGTAACTACTGTTATTGTTCCTATAATATGTTTAATTGTTATTATATTGTAATATTATTGTTTTTAATAACTGAGCTGATATAAACAGCATAACATGCCATTAAAAAAAACCCCACAATATTCCATATTGTCAGCTGTGGCTTTATGTCCCATTTTACACCTTTGTTGCATGGTGTCCACATATGTGGACAGTTAAATAATTTTTAAATAAAACTGAATTTTGTAAAAATGAAAATGGATTTCAATTTTAGCATCATATTAAAGTAATAAAAAGAATCATAAAAAAAATCTAGAT